TGATGATGAATACATGCATCTGATATTTGGATCACTCTCCGAGAACACCTGACGTCTGATTATCATTAATGGGATTAGTCACTGTGACGTCAACAGCGTTCTTTCCGTAAATTTCATAATGTTACTACACCAACTACACATTATCATCGTGTATATCTCCGAACAGCAAACCCGATGATTTTCTTCGAAACCAGTTTGAATCGCGCGGTCTGTGACACTCAATTGGATAAATTAATTAGGTAAAGGTACCTCAAATAGCAGTGGCGTATCTATGGGCATCGAACATCAATGTTCGATGCTATGGGCGAAAGGGAGTTAGAAAGGAGATAGATATGTTATTATTTCATAACTTCAAATCCCAATCAAACATTAAAAATAATGAATATTATGAACGTCACATATTATGTGCACATATGATTTGTTTATATTTTACTCAATGTTTATCTCAGTTGATATTGGTCTAACGTTAAAATAGGCAAAAATGAAGTATATCTACCTATATTTCTTATGGGCATTCAGAATCTGTTACTAGAAAATGCAAAAAAGCATCGTAAACCTAACAAATTTACATGAACTGTTATTTTTTAAATGGAACACCCTGTATTTTATTTTCGATATCGATTTTCTGATTCAGATATACATATCGGGTGTAACAGGATAATAGAACACCAAACCATTTTGATGAACTCAACTTGGTGATAAATCAAGAAATTTGACATTTTAGCCAGGATTCAAATTCTTTTAGCATAAGAAATGTCGATAATATGAGTACATCAGACTCAATCAGAATAGTCAATTAGTCGCGGCACACTCAGATGGAAAATAAAAAATGAAATCAAAATCAATATTAAGATTAGAATGTCATGTGGTATCATTGGAATCAGAAAAAGATGCAGAATTCGAAAATGCAATGATATACAGGGTTTTTCATTTGAAAATAAAAACTTATTTCCATTTCCGGTGAAACCGGAAGTGGAAAGTGAAACATGTTTATGTCAAAGTGTGACGTTTATCAAGTTGATGGGTCATTGCAAATTTCAATCAATTATCTTCAGAACTGAAGAAGAAAAAGGGGGTGTACCATGATCTTGTTACACCTGGTATACAGGGTTTTTCACGATGAGCGGTAATTAGACTTTTCTGACAAACCCAGCAACAGATGAATCTGAAATGTTGATGGTATGTATAAATTGACATGATCTAAACGTCTAAAATATGTTGAACGATGCGGCGTTGCTGCTTTTACTAGAAAGTACTGAAATAAGTAGCAGCAACTTTGATTTCTCGAATAGAATACCCTGTATTTCAATGCATTTTTATATTCTCCCTGAAGAGCTGATTCCATTGATGACACTTGGGGTCTAGCGGGAATGATTACAAAGATTTATAGTTTGTTCAAAATCGAGATTTTTCGATTTTAGTATTTTTTGTGTCAAAACACTCGAAACTATTCATTATCGGTCAGAACGGCTTCCATCTTCACTTTTGTTTAACGATCTACTGACATTTATTTGGAACAGGGTGGTCAGAATTCTAAATCTTGAACCACCCTGTATTTGTTCCAATAATAGATAGTAATTCCAAAGTTGAGATAGGGACTTGGAAGCCGTTTTGATCGATAATGAACAGTTTCGACACAAAAAAATCCTGAAGTTAAAAAATCTCGATTTTGAACACCCTATATCTTTGTCACCATTCCCGCTAGACCCCAAGTATGATAAATTGATGAGATCATCTCTTCAGGAAAAATCAAAGTTGCTGCTACTTTCTAGTAGAAGCGGCAACGCCGCATCGTCTAGATCATGTACAGTATACATACCAACAAATTTTCAGATTAATCTGTTGCTTGGTTATCGTTAAAACCTTGTATAGGTACTTTATTGAGGTTATCTTTGGCAGTTTTCGAAAAATATAGATTTTAGGGCAGCTGTAGAACGCCAGAAATCGCGGCGCAGCATTGTCGTCTGGCGTTCAACACCTGCCTTTGATCTATACCAAAAAATCTATATTTTTCAGAAACTGAAAAAGATCAATAAAGAATAAATATTTGAAATCAGAAGAAATAGCTCCACCGTTTATAAAAATAAAATACAGTGTGTTCCATTCAAAAATACCAGTTAATGTAGAATTTTCAGGTTTACGATGATTTTCTGCCTTTTCTATTAATGTATTTCAATTGCCCATTAAAAATACGACTTCATTTTTCCCCATTTGAACGTTTGTGTTAGACCAATATTAACTGAGATAGCTATTGAGTAAATTATACACAATCACCCTAAGCATAATAATATTATATTCCTTTATATTGTATTGACGTAGGTACCTTCTGATATCAATCTTTATGGCAGATTTGTTTAACATTTGCATATAGTCTTCGTCTCAGTTCAAAATGAGTTTTTGTCTCAGCCAAGATGTCTTACCTGCATACTTACTTGAAGTAGGTAGCATAAAGAATGATGTGAGAATTTGTGATGCATCTTTTAATACACAGGGTTTACCGAAATTGCATAGATTTCAACTGCAGATACTAGGAGAAAAAATAGTAGAATATAAAATAGTTTTGACGTTAAAAGTTTTTGATCTGTGCATCTGTTTATTTCTTCACTGTTATTTGTTATTGAATTATTCACTATTCACGTATTCTAAAATGCGTTTAGATATTGATGTAGCATTGTTGAATGTTCAATTTGATGAATGAACCTTTTTTCACAGAATTATGAAATGCTAGAAACGCATCAAAACCACAATATGTAGTATATCGTCGAAATCTGAATGGAAATAAGGGCTTTTCGAATCTGATATCAAATTATCAGGGCCGTATTTGGAAAAATTGAATTGATGATGGTAACTCAAAGACGAAACGTTGGATCAGAAAAATCGATGATGTCAAATTGAAAAGCATCAAAAGTTGCCACGAAGATGTTCTTTCAGTTCTGTCATAACTATATTATTAACGCCAGAAAAAAATGAAATTGAAAATCCAAAAATAACAGTTTTCTGGAGATAATTCAAAAAACGAAGTCATATCAGAGATTTTTGAAATTCATTTTGTTGGTCTTTCACTCGCGCAACTTTTCTCCTATTAAACCAAATCTCTATATCTCTCGTGGTTGCCCATATATACTAGTCCTCCCATAGACATATAAAAAAAGATTATCTTGGGCACAGTGCATACATATATTTTACAAAGCACAAGCACGTGTTTTTATGAAGACTGTTATACTCTTTTTGTTTTTGCTTTCAATATAAATTTTCAAATAAATAATGAATAAACATCTCTTTATAAACCAAAAATGATTAAAAAATAATACCTAATCTAATAGCTCGACGATACAAAATCCACAAGTTACTTAGTATTCACTTATATCGGCATCAGCCCCCAAAGACTGTCCCTCATTTATTTATATCGATATTTTGCTCAGAGGAATCTCCCCAGGCTTTTATTGTTACTACAAAACTCTGAATCATAAGCCTCGTATAGAAGAAATCAATTGAACAAAATGCGCATCCAAACAGTATTTCGTGAATTGGAAAACTATATGGACAATTATAAATTTTAATGAGTCATTAGGTAGGTATAGGTAGGTATACCTACTATATGAATTTTCTGAATACCCCACTGACTAAATATACATTGTTGAATGATCTCTGAAAATGAATAGATAGTAATTATAAATTTTTATATTAGTTCATCTGATAATGTGACCAATGGCCAAAAGTGTGCGGTCGCTATAAATATATATACAGTGTGTCCACCTTAAGGACTTACCACCCCTGTAAAATTGTTATTATCTGACCGATTTCCAGAAACTTTTTTTTGTTGGATAGGTATTTGAAATGTCCATCCAACAAGAGAGTGATTTTACTCATGAACTGTAATCGTGGCCAACTGCGACCAACTTTATTGACCCATATTTGAGAAAGTACTATTAGGGAATTTTTTTCACAAAAAACAATGATAGATTCTGAATCACGATCACTTGAAAAATACCTTTACTGATTTTTATCATCATAAAACACAGGGTGTCCAAAAAAACGAATTATGTTTTCTTTTCAATAGGTAATCAGAAACTGTAGTATTGTGGTATTTTTGAGAAGAATTGATGACACATTATTATTGAGGATCACTTTGAACATATCTATACCGATTTTCATCATTCAAACATACGATGTGCATGAGAAAACAATTAAAAAGAAAAAGTAGGCAATATTTTTTCATCAACTCAAAAAAAATATTAATTTGATTTTTCGAACACCCTGTGTTTAATGATGGTGAAAATCTGTACAGGTATGTTCCAAGTGATCCTGATTCATCTTCTTATTTTGTGTGAAGAATTATCAGGATGAAAAATATTGCTTACCTATCCTTTTTAATTTTTTTCTCAGACACATTGTATATTCAAATGACGAAAATTGGTACAGGTATATTTGAAATAATCCTCAATGATAATTTGTGATTATTTCTTTCTAGAAAAACCACAGAATTACATTTGCTGATCACATATTTGAAGAAAATGATGATTCGTTTTTTCGGACACCCTGTGTTTTATGATGATGAAAATAGGTACAGGTATATTTCAAGTGGTACTGATTCAGAATCCATCATCAAGTTTCGTGGAAAAAAATCCCTAATAGTACTTTCTGGAATATGGGTCATTGAAACTTGTCGCAGTTGGCCACGATAACAGTGCAAGAATTAGATCACTCTCGCGTTGGATGGGCATTTCAAATACCTATCCAACAAAAAAAGGTTTTTTGAAAATGGTCGGATAATAACGATTTTACAGGGGTGGTAAGTCCTTAAGGTGGACACACTGTATATATAAAAGTATGGATGTTATTTGAGCATTTAAGATTTAATTTGTTGTAAATTAACTCTACTTAAACGTATAGTAATGACTAAAACTGCCCCTCTCAACAAAATTTATAATATTGAATCCGACAAAGAAAATATTGTTTCTTGCAGTTAAAAAATTGATAATTCGGATGTAAAGACTTACCTAGTCATATTTGGGGAGGATAATTTTCTTAGTTTTTCTCCAAGAACAAATCTGTATCCTTCTCTGTACTCATGAGGGTTGTGATCTTCATCAAATCAAATGATATTCGATTTCTAAATATATCACTATCGATAATTATTTGGAATTATTATTTCGTTTCTTCCAATTTTTCAACACATATTCGATCATTCGTTGCGGTCAAAAAACACTCGCGCAGTAGTCACTACGTCTCATTGTTTAACAATGGTGATAACTTTAAAATTGTTCATCCTACTTTGTTAACACAAGGTCTTTATGGCCCCTATTCTTTGTAAATCGTTATTAGCTACTTACTTATGATAGCTCAACCGTTACTGTCAAATTGTTAAAACGGTCGTGTAGGTATATAATAATAGCTCTAAAAAATTTAACGTTATTTTTTTTTTCATTTCCTTTTTCGTCAGAGAACAGATAGGTAAACATCTTTGAATGATTTGAAAATTGGCGTTCATGTCAAATTATTATCACTGCATGAACTGAAGTTATTCACAACTAAGCCCAGATTCTATGTTTGGCTCAAATTTCGAAGTGGAAAATGCTTTTATCAGACCTCACTGCTTAATTTATACACCTTATTACATTTCATGGATTCACTAATGATAGTATATCATTTATATTCTGATGTTTAATGCCGTTTGCATATATAATATATGCCGATTATGAGAAGATAATATTATGCTTTATCTGAATCTATAATCTATTTTACACCATTATACAGCAAGCACAAACATTCCTGGGATGTTTTGAAAATGTTGGCATGAAGATGTTTTTGTTTTGGACGTAATATGCACTTCCCAAAGAGGTCTTTGAAGGATATTGAAGTATTGTTTTTGTTATTCTGTGGCATTTCTTTGTGTGCCTACTGAATGATATTCCTGGGATGTTTTGCGATGTTCTAAAAATTTAGCATCTGGATGTTTTTTTGAGACGTGATATGCATTCCCAACGAGGTCTTTAAAGGATATTGAAAGTATTGTTTTTGTTCTTCCGTGTCATTTCTTTGTTTGCGTACTGAGGAAGTATCCCTTGGATGTTTTGGGATGTTTCGGAAATGATGGCATGAGGATGTTTTTTTAGACGTGGTATGTATTCCCAAGAATATTGAAAAGTATCAAAATATGATATAGATTTGTATCAATATTTAAAATGTTTCCCCTGACTCAACCTCCCAGTAAACACAAGGACATCCAATGGATATCTTCAACGAACATTATGGATATCCTATGGACGTACTTCACTGGACAAAGGACGTCCAATGGATATCCCATGGATATCCGTTGTCCACCAACTTGGACGTCCATTGGATATCCATTTTCGATCATATATGTACGTATTCTGTACGTGAATTGTACCACAATGGACGAAAATTGGACTTTCAATGGACGTTATCTGGACCTATAATGGATATCCATAGGATATTGATTTATGTACATTTTTTGTACTCAAATTGTACGTACATGGACGAATTTTGGACTTTTATTGGATATTATCTGGATCTCAAATGGATGTTAGTTGGACCAACAATAAGACTGATTCAATGTAAAAATATATTCATGACAATATACAAAATAAGTGTGTCCAACAAAAAGCGCGAAAACAAATGATATTATATGAATAAAATTCTCAAAGACATTAAACTATTGGTCTTCTGTTGATGGTCACTCTTCTCCTTTGCTCTTCTCAGCCATTTCTTTATCACTTCCTCAGTGGCCTATGTATACACTGCAAATAGCTTTTGTCACATGCCCCTACAGAAGAAAATGGAATTAAATATACACCATAAAGAGAATAAGAAACTTCAAAATTTCAGTAACTCAATTCTTCATTAAGAACAAACTTTTGAAAATTTAGAATTATAAGAGATAGATAGAAGTCCTTACCAACCAGTACTTTGGCTATTTTTAGTTTTCTGAAGACTTTCTTCTTCATCATTCCATATTAACTATATTCATAGGTATCAAAAAATTAGGAATTCAGAATAAATCACTCTAAATCCTAGACTTTGCTGCCTCCCAGCTTGGACAATTCATTTATCTGATAAAATAAAGCACATTATGAAGTTCAATTTGAAATTTAGAGAGTATCTTGTTGATGAACTTACAGTAGAAATGAAGTTCATCTCGTCCTTTGAATTTCAACATCATTGAGTTGCTCATCATTATTATATATAGGAGAGAAATGGAATATTGTAGACATGGAGATATTCTCATTATCCTTCTCTGTTGCTGAATATTTCATTTTCTTGAGTTGTTGCAACTCTTCTAGCATCTGAAATGAATATTTGTCATTAGGTTGGATTATGTTAGGACTCATTCCCATTTCATACCATTGTTGTGCAGTTAGCAACAAGAACATGTTGGAATATCTGAAACAAAGAAGATGAAATTGTATGAGTGAATCTAGAGGGGCTTGTAACTTAACTACTCCATACCAACAGCTCTGCTGCTAATGAAACTGCTTTGTCATCCTCTCATGTGGAGTCAGAATCATTACAATAAACAAATTTTTCATTTTCTATGAAGGTAGACGGTAAACTCGTTTGTGATGGTGAACTTTGAAATTGAAAAAATCTACACTGCTTTCTACAGAATTGCTACTAAAATCATCACACAACATACTGGGAACAGACTGGCCAGGGAGCAAAGCAAGACTAGATACACATGCTGTACTCGATTACATGACGCCTGCACGTCTCTTCATGCCCTTTTGTACATTTTGTGCAAAACTATCTTTTTCGCGACCTTCCTCTCCATGCTTACCTGGTGATTATTAGAACACCGTAATGAATCACACAACCAGCTATTAATGTCTATTATTGTCTATACTCTATCACTCAAGTTTGTAAAAACTTTCCACAGCTTGCCATTAACAATAAAGTTCACAATAATCACAATTAACAATAACAAGGGAAATACCCAAATACCGAAATAAAATAACCTACAAATGTCAATCGTATAACTGCCACTGACACCAACTATCGAAAATCAGTGAGGCCAACCGCATTTGGCCCTGACTGAAGAGCACGAATTCAATCCGACCTGAAACGGAGCATAGTGTCATTGATGCAATACCACAAATGATAATAGTGATTAATCGTTAATCGAAAAATAATACTGTGAAGGCATTCACTGTTGGATCCGATAGTGATTCGCTGTTTCAATTATGTTTTTTTCAGGATTTGCTGGACATTTTCCGAAAACTTGTTCCCGCACGGACTATTTGTTGCCTTTTTGTGTCCTGTCTCTAGATGGTTCATTTCAGGTCGAATTGAATTCGTGTTGTGATTGGTCTCTTTCCTCATTTGGTTATTTCGTTTCCAAAGCTAAAATAGGTATTGAACACATACTTACAGGACAAACAACCAAAAATCGAGCAAAATATGTGTCTGAATTCTTAAACCTGCCGGATCATAAAATATTTCGATAGGGAGGAAATTATATACACAAACCATATTTCTATGCGACGCAAATCAATTGGATAACCCATGCTATTATTTTCATAAGAATTAAAAATTTCGTGAATACACGGATATCCATGGGATATCCATTGGATGTTCATGAATGAATATCCATCTGATGTACATGCATGGATATCCATAAGATGTCCATAAATGGACCTCTATGATACCAACCTCAAAATGGACGTCCATTGGACGTCCTTTTCCAGTCCATGTCCATGTGGACCAAATATGGACCTTCAATGGATGTCCATCGGATATCCTGTGTTTACTGGGCTATTATTCTCTAGCCTCAATGCTTATTATTATCCTACTATAATAACGAAGTGCATGTACTCATATAATGCTAAAAAAATGTGATCCTGTCAAAAATGTAAAGTTCCTTGATTCATCACCAAATTAAATTCATCAAAATGGCTTGGTGTACCATGATCCTATGATCCTGTTTTACCCGGTATAGATATATGTATTATCAATTCTAATTGAAAATGACCAGGCGTGTTGTCCAGAATATTCTGAGAATAGGTCATATACAGAATCGTATCAAAATATGATATGGATGTTATTCTTGTATCAATATTCATAATGTTGCCTCACCCCTATTATATTCTCTAGCCTCAATGCTGATTATTATCCTAATATAATGAAGTGCATCTTGACATCTTGCTATTCATATCATTCATCAATAATGATCCTATAGCGCAGTGAACAAGGTGTAGGATTGAAAACATTGAATCACAATAAGAGAGTAGGTTCGGTTCCCCAGCAGGGATAGCTCTTTTTCAATTTTTTTTTTTCAAGGCTTTTGTGCTTGTGCTTGCTGGATAATAGAATGAATCCTCGTAGAATATACATATCCAAAACTTGTCAGTAAAATTTTCAACAAACTTTTGAATATAAATTATAGTAAATAATATCCGACGCAGTTCATAACTTGCTTAAATGAAATGAAAATCAAAAAGCGTACAAATTTACAATATATTTATGATCTAAATTTTACAGTAAAAGAAGCTTTATACACTATCAATCAATGCTCATATTAATCATAAACTATCTTATATATCTGTTTCGATGATGAATGAAAAAATAAACAACTTTTTTTAACTCTCAATATATTTTAATATCCTAAATTTGAACCGATTGAAGTACCAAAGTGAAGACCTGAAAGTGCAAGGAGTTTATTTGTTCATCTACATCACACCATGGGCGTCCGTGGAAAAATAGTCAAGTTGTCATTGTCAACTGACTTTTCATCCCGATGAACTAAGCCGCATCATCACTTTTGCGTATTTTATTTTTTAATTTCATATCAATTTTTTTCATTGCACTGAAAACTCAGGGGGCACAAACGCCGCCCTCCTCCGGACGCCCATGCATCACTTCTATAATACAAATTTGATTCTATAATAGTTGGCCATCATGCTTTGATTTTGATGAGAAATAATTTAAACCCAATAAAGACTGATGCTTACAAACTGATGAACTTTTTGAAACAATCATCTTAGTGAAAAAATTACTTCGGATACCTTGTGTACTGCTATAAAACTAATTTAACCTTGCCATGGCCGAAACTGCACAAGATATAGAATGGACTAGAACAATTTTCAGAAACCCCCTGTTCCCCGTAGCAAAATAAACTAACAAGTCATAATATTTAGAATAGAATTCATTCAGAATCTTGTACTCATTCACAGAAACTGAAGTGGTCAACACTGTAACTGCAATACCGAAATTTCAACAAAATTTTAACATTTCAATGCCAATACCGATTTCCATTTTGTTGGCAGATTATTCTCTCGGTCTAGGACATATAGGATATCTAGCCATCGGGAGATATTATAAGTTGATGATGTCAAACGTATCTACATGAGTTTGGCTATATCTTCGATGCCAAAACTGCAACCCTGTTAAATTTTCTAGGAGCGTATTCGCAATTTTGAAATTAGTATTTCTGTGTCTAAATGATAGTTTCCAATTCGGGATCATTGTGTCATCAACTTTAAAAGGTAATAGATCAATCTTGGAATACATTGAAGGGCAAAAATAACAGATGACAGCTGAAACTGATTCGATTCCCTAAGGCTTTGAATGAACTATAAAAAAATAATTATTTCCACAAATATTCTCAGAAGAGAGAACACTCTTACACATCAATGTCTATGAATTTCGCGTTAGTGATAAAAAACTAACTGAATTATTCTGATTCATGTTATCTGGATTCAGATTTTTATAATCTGAAACAAAACGGCAATCGGGTATATTATTGAAAATTTACGATGCGTTTGTCAAAATTTCAGTGTGCTGTTAGATTGTTGACATTTTTAAATTATTCAATTAATAAAATATATATACACATTTTTCACATAAACTTTTTTTAAAGTCACTCAAGGCATTTATCTAAATTTTCCTCAGATCCTAGTTTCATAAATTTTCAACAATGATAATTTGAAATTATATTCATTGTTACATAAATAACTCTCTAGAACATGTACACAATTATTATATATTTCATGTGCTATAATTTTTTTTTAGACTGTGTAAAATGCTATAATTTTTTTTAAAACCTCATAACAATCTCAACAGAACTAGTTATCAATGAAAGAAAATAAATAAAACTCCAAATGGAAAACCAATGTAGATGATAATTCTTGAGGTATGCTTTGTGTTTCCAAAATCATACATAGATATTATAAACACTATTATAGAAACAGTAATAACTACATATTCACTAAAATTCGAGTCATGTTTTCATTCGGAGGAGGTAACTAGGCGTTAAGATCTATGAATATTAAAATACTAGTTACGGAACGGATAACGTGGACATCTTTTATTCATTGTAATCCCACCATTCTTTCTCATACCCCTCATGGACATGTTCTAGTAGCACTTTTCTGCGACTATCGCAGTACCTGAAAAATGATGGATATATAAATTCAATATTATAGAAAAGATATATCATTATGAAAGATACTTCAAAAACCAAAACAGGTAACACCAACCGAATTATTATTTTCAGTCAACAGATTATTATACCAGAGCTGTGACATTCTAATGAAAGAAGCTATCAATCTGGAAATCAGAACTACATAGCAGATGAACCAATTCGGAATTAAAAAAGTGTATATTATGATCTTCCTCTTTATTTATTTGAAGTTAGAACAAAAATTTAATGCAAGGGTTTCAGGTTATGTTACCTCTTTATCCCCTCAAGTTGGTCAGTTATCTTCATTATTTAGATAACTTTTATTCATATTCATTCCAAAAGATGTGTTTGGTCACAATTGCTCTGTTCAATCCAATGATGTATATCTTCTTATTCTTACCTGTATTTGTCTTGAACTTTTTGCTTTATGTCAGCAAGGTTTTCAGACGTAATATCCCTCTCCAAATACTCAGACAGAGTTTCAGTAGCACTCTCAAGGTCTTTTTGGTTATCTTCAAAGATCACAGACTGATTATTCTTTTGTAAGTAGTAGGCAAAAACATATGTGTACATCAATGTCTGCCTACACTGACAAAGTATATCCACGGCCCTTTTCAGAAATTGCACCTCTATCCAACTCATGTTATGCTGCTGCATTTCCTCCATTTTTTCCTTCACGGAAGCGTAAAGTTTGTGTTCAAATTTAAGTGACGCCATGTGATTCATATATCTGTTACAGTAGAATAAGTAACGTTGTAGAGCTGAGCGAGATTTTTCTTGAGCATCACGAGCTGCCTTAGCCTCATCCTCATCATATCTATTACAGTTGTACCACGAGCTTCCATGAGGCTCCCAGGGGCCCAAGCACACCCAGCAAAAGTCCGTCTTGCAATTCTGGTTTTTACACACCATATGATTGCAACCGCCGTCTTTTTCAATTGTTACATTACACCTAGGACACTCTTTGGTGTTAGCAGCTATCCAATTACTCGTTTCTGAATCATCGTCACATTTTTTTATCCACTTTTTCAGTAGGTGACATTTGACTGGGTCGTGCCAATTTTCGCCGCAAGCAAAGCAAAAGGAGTGTGTACATTTGCAGGTTACTTTGTGTGGTTCCACATATTGAACTTTGATTGCATTACTACAGTCTGGCGATGGACACCATCTCAATAGACGATTACACTGAAATGAGGTATTCTATAAGACATGCTCTCACAACGCTATATGGAATTATCGCCCTTTTACTTCAGTTGGGTCTGGTCAAGATAATTCGGTGTATGGATAGTATATATACAGGGTGTTTTAAAAAAGGGGGTGACCCAATAAACATGATACATAACAAAAATATTTTCCAGATATAAGTTTTGGGATATTGTTGAAATAACATTGCGATAACGTGGCATCAATATTGAAATCAATAATAAGAATATAATAATAATAATAAATGCTTTTATTGTCTCAATGAAACAAAAGGCAGAGTTCAACTCGCCGATAAATCGACAGCTGCTCTTCCACTCAACCATTGTAATATGTAAATTTTAGGCTGTTCAGATATATCCTCAGACAGTGCTGTTATGTTATTTCTGCAACATTTTCGTTTCACTACTTTATAATTTAGCTTACATGTATACATGATACAAGGGGATACTATTTTTTTTTTGCAATCCAAATTTGATGTGAACGAAATATTTTGATTTGAAAATGCTGAAGTGATAACAGTTGCTGCCATAAAGCTATTTAAGTATCATGAAAAATTCTATTACCTATTTATTGAAAATCGAAAACAACCAAATATTTCTGATACAGAACTTGACAGAATACCACAGAATAACATTGAAATAAATTTGGAAAAAACATGGATTAGGTACACAGTTTTTAAGGAAAAAGTCAATACTACAAAGGTACATCCACGTCAAGAGTTGCTAGAGAAGATTGAACATCACTTGAATCATTGAATGACCTAACAGCTGATCCTCAACCGTTTAGGAGAATAATTAGTTCTCAAGAAGAAAATATAGAATCGGGTATTCAGGGAAACGGAGAACATTCTGAACATTTACTCTAACTGATTCAATATTCTTGCAAGAGGGTCACCTTCTTTGAAACACCCTGTATATATGAATGAGGAATTATCATGATCTGACAGTAATGAGAATATTCGGAACTGGCGAACTGGAAATATGCTGCATAAACCAAAAGTAAGAGCAATAATAAATGTATTAATGGCTTATTCCAAAACTTTCCTACATCCTGTGAAATTGTCGAAAATTCACAGACTATCAGAGAATGTATCACTCGTTTAAATGTTAATAGGGATGGCTGGGGTGTTTCGTCAATTTTTCAGAAAATTTTCATCTTCAGAGTTATTTGAGGTATCTACTTTTAGTTAAGAATGGGTAAGATCACGTCCAGACACCCTGCATCCCTGGATGTATAAATTAAAGATTCCATTGATTGATTGAAAGGTAGAAGCGAATATCAATTTGATAAGGAGATTGAGACGATAACTTCTTGCTCAAAATAAATTCCTGCAGAAAATATTGAAAAAGTTTTTATTTTTATCATACATTGCGTTTCAATTTGCTCTACCTCACTTCCGTATTTTCGTTTTTTTTTTTTGGTGACTGGCAATTTTGTTTCTTTAAGCTATGAAAAGTACTGCAGGATCTCCTTCTTTGGAGTGAAACAAATTTTTTACATTGAGGAAACGTATCATGCATTGTTTACCAAGATTCTGGAATAGAAAAAATTTACGAAATTTTAGTTGAAACCTCATGCGGGTGTTTGGTATAAGGTGTATACAAGTGACACATTGAAACTGTTCATTGATTTCTGTTAGGATTATTGTAATTTCCGCCTTGGTGGCCAGAATTGCACCATCTGACTACAACAAGTATAGAAGAAAAAGATTGATGTTGATAGTATTATTTTTTGTTATTTAGACCAATTCTCTGATGAAAATTAATGACCAGGGGTCCAAATTGGTTTACCGGACTGGGTATCTTTTGTTGATATTCATGCAAAAGAACCCCCACACATCCCTATCATCTGTTTTTGAGACACTTTAAATACTGGGTATTACTTTGATGGCCCTTCATTTCAGCATCACAGCAGATAGATGAAGATTGAAAGAATTCATGAGTATCATTAAAGTGATGTGTGATCGATTTTTTTCTAATGGGACAATTATGCCAAAAACAAATGTATGGACAGTGTCACTGTGTATATGGGACTATTCCATATTGATTGCTGCTTAAACAATTTAATTATATATGCAAAATGCTTCTACAAATTTCATAATTTTTTGTTATCCTTGCAGGCCAAGAATAGTTATTAATGCAACTTTTTGCTAGATAAGAAAGAGCTTAATAGTTTTTTTATCTGGAGAGAAAAAAATGGCTTGAGGATGAGGTGGGCAAATTGAAATTCACTGTAAATTTGAAAACTGTTTGAATTGGTAGAATTTATTTCTGTATCTGAATTTTCCAAAAATTTTTATATTTTAGTGTTATATGTTTCAATTTATGATTGAATACCTCTTCATCTTTTCATTCCTCTAAATAACTTCTCCACATATTTTCTAGTTTTTCCTATATTTATAAAATTGCTTTCATGGAGCAAAACTTTTAGCTTCTCAAATATGTACACAAAACAAACTGAAATAATTTACAGATACACTTTATTTTATTTATCATTGTATGTAACCCTTTTGTGAAAAAAAAGTCAAAGTTGTTATTCCAAATAAAATGTTTTACAACAACTTAACATAACATATATTGAGAGACTATATAAACTCACCTCAACAAAACTGTTTGTTATTAAATGTTGATATTTAAGTCTAACTTTTGAATCTTTTACTAGTCTCATAACACTAGCATCATCCACTAAAATGTCACAACCATGAGCTGCACAAGCAATTGTTTGGCCAACTCCCTCTTCCATAATTTTAGTAGTAAGGTATTCACACCAACAGTGAGTACAAAATCGGTGACCACATTCCAATCCAGTCATATGCTGAAAAACATATAGCAAATTCTGATTGGAAAATTGCATTGAACTTTCTGAACAAATGTTTTACAGAAACACCATCATCCTCAAATATTCCAACTAATCATCATGGCATGATGGCAGTACTATCAATTAAATTGAGTAAGTAAATAACTTTCATGAGTATTTCAAGGTTATCCAGGTCATGAAGTTTAGCATAGCAACAGGATTAACAGGAAAAACATTCTGTTTTCCCTATTGCTAAATGTCTTCTGAACATCACCTGATGACCTTGTAATCCCCCAAAATTATACTGAATATTTGGTGGTCCTACAGATATCCTTACAGGTATGAGTCTTCATTCAATCTATTGGAGCTCATGTCAGGGAATTTCTGTTTTTGTATATTGCTATGAAGTTCTAGGAACATCATGCATACTTAGGGAGGATAGGGAGGGAAGGGGTAGGCATTGTTTATTTTAAGAGAGGCCTGAAACACTGGGGTATTGATGAATTTATCAAAACCTAATATATACCTACAGTAGGTAACAAATAGATACAACTTGATTTCATACTCACTGATGATGGAAGAACCATGAAACAAATCTCACATTCTTCTGTACCATTTGATGCTTTTTTTTGAGGCTAAAAATAATTAATCTTAATCATGAATTCTACAGCAGGAGGAACTGTTCTACCTTGGCCTTAAAACTAATATTCAAATCCTTGAATGGATTTATAACTCTGGCTTCTGAAAATAACTGCTCCTGATCACCATCATAAAATCGCTCCATAAGTTTTTCTCTATCCCACCGAAAATGATTCAATAGTATCCTTGTTGTTGTGGCAGGTATCTAGAAGAAAATGAATTGGCGTTATTGAGGTTAAGAGTCCAGGATGATTAGAATGATCGGGTATCGGGTCCTACCTCTACGACAGAGTTGACGTCTTTTATAGAATCCACCATGTGTTGGACAATTTCTTCAGTACTTAGGACTTCAAAAGGATAGTCATCTGAATCTGTCTGCATTTCTCTATGGCCCGAACCTTCAACTTCCATTGCAAAATCAACGTCGTCTCCACTGGATTCATTGCCTGAGTCAACATCATCATATGTTTCTTCTTCAGAATCCATTGTGTGTATTATAAAGAGATTCTTTTCAGAATTTCAATCTTGTGGCTTCAAATGTACAAACAATGAAAATTATCTACACTTCCAATCCATTTTATTTTCCGTAGCGAATTGGCGATGATACAAGGTAGATAATAGCAACAACAGTCAAGACTTTCAACAGTATCAAGTTATCAAGACATCAAGACCAAGACATCATCACACAACAGCCACAATCACAGATTCACAGATGGTCAGATGACAACAATATGACATGTGACCACCATGTGAGGTATGAAGTCACTGAAAGCAGTCATATGTCATTAGCTGTCAAAAGTATTCTTCTTCTGATTGATTCAGACTTTCCATTGTCCATCTTTCTGAGCTATCCGGAGTTCTTAATGAAATCTTATCAGAATTCAGTCTACGAGTTTTATACGTATAGTATACATATATTAAAGACTGGATGTAAAGTTACACTTTATCGCCCAGATCATGGATAAAAAAAACTGGATAAGTCATAAAAGGTAGGGACAGTCATCATTCGGGCACGAATTCAATTCAATACTACCTGAATTGGTCCTTGGACGCAAAAGAGGCAGGGCGCAACAAATAATCCATGCGGAAGCAATGCGAAAAATTTCCGACCCATCCTGAAAAAACATCCTTTATGATCTAAGAAAACATCATTGAGACAGCCAATATAATATCACTTTCGGCCTCAACAATAAATGCCTCCACAGCAGTCCATAGTATTTTTTCAATTAATCACTTTGAAAAACTGAACAAATCTGTGGTAAAGAATGGGATTCGAACCACTTATGAGCCAGGCACTTTACTCCGTTAGCCATTAATTAACGAATTTGGAATGTGTATAAAGCAAGGAAAAATTAATTTCATCGTTTAATAAGTAAGTTAGTTCAAATTCGAAGTTGTTGATTGTTTTGTTTTCCTTCGATAAAAAAAACTTTGAGTTTTATTTTAAACTCAGGATATCCGAGCTCGTTCATCTCGTTCTTTCATTTTTATTTACTATTCGTTATTTTAGACTGAAAGGCCTCCTTATGTATTTTGCGTTGGAGCCAAAAAAAATCTAGTCACGCCATTGACCGTGAAGAATGAATATAGGAACAATATCCACGAAGAGTATATTATAACCGTTAAGGGCAATATATCAATCAACGTTATATAACTATCTTGCTTGTTCTCGATGTTCTTCATTCTTGTATCAGCACTATCAGCAAATAGCAAATGGAAACAATAATGTTCCAGCCCCTGAATATTTATATAAACACCACCACTGGGCATTACCAGTGTTGCCACAGGGAGGGAAATCTGTACCTGTTGGACACATGAAAGTATGTTTTTTCGAGCAACCTCTGTCAAAATCGGAATTTGTAGATGAAAAAATATATGAATGGATAACCGTTACAGCAACTCACAACAAATTTCTCTGTTGCCTAGATATCTGAATAAATAACAAAATATAATTTCTCAAGTTTTTTCCTATAATTTCGGAAGTGGGTCCACCTATACGAGCATAGCTCAACTCGTCACTGGACTATCAGAAGGTATATGGGCTGATTGCATTTGACACGATCAAATATTCAATTTTATTGTTTAGCTGATAGAAAAGCTGATTCCTCTTTAACAACAAGCAGGTTAATGTAACTGACCCCAAGTATCTTAATCACTACCAAAGAGATGAGTGGCAAATTAACTCATGAAGAAATAGCGAATTCCTGATTCTCGAAGGGATCCTAGTTTCCAAGGCTATCTGGTCAAATGCGCAATTGCTGGAGTCAGGCCATCTTTGCTGATATAGCTGAACAAAAATAAATTCATATTGCGCCAGATTTGTGTGGCCTACAAGCCAAGGTGAAAACGAGCGAGCTGTGGCAACGCTGGAGGCACCATTGTTGTGAGCTGTGACGTAGTTATCACTTGTGACGTTGTGACGTCATTCGTCAGGTCAATCTGATTTTCTAGCCACTCTGCCATCAATATCATACTTGGACCACTCTCTGCTAGATGGCACAACCGAAATCACTGATATTTTGTTTTATTTTTCCTAATGTCGGGGGCCTGTTGAAAACCCAACAGTTTTTGAACTCAAAAAGCAGATCTTGATATAGGTTTCGAAATATTAAAATTTCCAAGGTGGTGCGTCCTCTTATCTCATTTTTTAATTAGGATTATACCTTTCTTTTTTTGTTTCAAAATCCTCGAAGCCAATCTTATTTGTACGTGTAGGAACTAATACCTATATGTATAATAACTTATACGTATATAAAGGGTGATTCAGGTTTTAGAGATCAATGTTGATCTCATTATTTTAATCGAAAGAGTATTCATAAAGTGGGTAACTTATCTCTGTCATAAACATGGGTCCTATCTCGATCAGTACCGGAGCTACCGTAAGGGGTCAAGGTTTAATTTTTTTTAATCAATTGAAATATCTCGCTTATTACTTCTAGATATATATCAGTTTGAAATTGGATGTGGTCAATACTTTCTAGAATCCTATAGAAGATCATAATTTGAAGCATAAAGATTTTCAATATATACAGGGTGATACGTTTCAGAGGGTAGATGATAGGCTTCTTTATCCCCCACAAACTTTTTCATAGCACGTCTTTGACACTTTCCAGTTACCAATTAGGGTGGGTCGTTCAATTAAGAGGCTTCTTCTACTCCTCAATTATTTTCTAGAAACGAACTGTTATCCAGATAAATAGAGATATGCTTATAGAACGGATATACATCATATCCGTTCTATGACATGTTAATTTTGCCTGTATATGTTTTCGCTTGAATTTTGTTCTTGGACAAAATTTGTTGAAAATGCAATGAAATGTACGAACATTATATATAGCGATGATACATCAGAGGGTAGAAGGTCAGGTTGCTTTTAGCTGACCAATATAACGCCGCGGAAAATTCGTGGTAAAAGCCACTGGTTAAAGACCCAACCAGTTGTATCTTATATCTTTTTCAATATCATTAAAGAAATCGAAAAGTAATATATCATTCAACCTGCTGTCGGGAAAAATGTAATTAAGCCAGCCACATGTGAATTTTGTAGTAATTTACTACCATATACATATCTGATAAATGTGGCTTTATCAGTCCACAGTTTACATATATTTTGTTGTATTATTCGTCATTGTCAATATTGTTAACAAATTTTGTCCAAGAATAAAATTTGATAGAAAAAAAAAAAAAGAATAAATTAACATGTTTTAGAACGGATATGCTTATTTATCTCGGAAACGGTTTATTTCTCGGAGAAAGTTGGGAAGTAGAAAAAGTCTCCAAATTGAAAGATTCATCCTATTTGGTAATTGGAGAGATGTCAGAGACGTAATACATAAAAGAAGCCTCATCTACCCCCAAAAATGTATCACCCTGTAGATTCTGAAAATATTTAAAATGCTTAAAATGATGATTTTCTAGAAAGTACTACCTACAACAAATTGCAAATTGATATATCCTCAAAAGTAGGCGAGATATTTCAATTTTTGATAGAAACAAATAAGTAAAATGCGACTCTCTTTAGCTCCGCTACTGATCGAGATCGGACTCATGTTAATATGAACTTTTTTAATTAAAATCATGCGATCTATCACCCATGTCAGTTTGTTGAAACCTGAATCACCCTGTATCTATATATAGAGGTAATATTATAATATATATAAGAATGTAACAAAATATATATACTCATTCTCTCACGTAAGTATATTAGGTAGGTGTAGTACCACCGTAGAGTACCTACTGAATTTTAAGATTAAAGATTATGGCGAACAACACATTCACCAGCGAGTGCGTACGGGCAGGCACTGAAATGATTTTGTGGTATAAATAAATGTACGCCAATGACTCGTTTTATTTTATGAATTTTAATTTCATCATAATTTAAGGTAGGTATTTGAGGCATTTCTCACATAATGCTATAATTATTATTTACGCACGCCACTGGTAAAATGACTGTGGTAAACTGGTAAAATAGGTATTATAAAATAAAGTAACCTAGGTACCAACTATACTATAGGTAAGTATATTATTCATGTAGGTGGATTATAATAAACTGCAGAAATATCCTTCCAATCATACCTACCGGGTGAATGTCCCGACGGGAAATACAGATTACATATACAGGGCGTAAAGGAAAACTTACTCAAGCGCAGAATATCAACCCGATCGTTAACGAAGCGAACTCGAGCTAGCCACATGATACATGATAACATAACGGACGTTCAGCAAACAGCCTAGCAACGACCTTGAAGAATAAATAATCCCCTATCCCCTCCAACCAAGCCAACCATGTCATGTCAGCATAGTTGCACCGGATGGGCGATGTCGGAACTAGCGCACTAGCGGACAAAAAGCTAGCATTTCCCGCCAAGCTTCGATAAGAACATTCATTGTGACTCATAAAATAATGTACTTATTTCTTATTACCTCTTAAAATGGAGTCATCAGGAAGATTCAATTTGCGACATGAACTTTTGTTTGTTGTTACTATGATTTTGAAATTTGGTAATTTCATTATTTGAAGTAGGTATATTGACATTATTATACATGTAAAATGACATAAGGCATCGGCGCACGCGTCGGCGGCCATCTTGTTGTAAAAAGATTAGTCATCTCGTCATCTGAAACAACATTAAAATGGATTTCCCATAAAGTCATGTAGGTACAGTTTCGGTAAAAACATTTCCAGCTCATGAACAATGTTTATTTGTTTTTACACCCCACTTGACCCCACTAGTTCTTGCTGAACAACCTCATAGCCCTCATTAGACCATAAAAAACAACAAAAACAATGAGGAAGCTTAACCTTGAATTACAATAATGGTCAAATTAGGTTGCGATAAGTCATTTGTTTTCCCAATGAATACTGTACGTAAGGGTCAGTTTTGCTGAATTGACAGAAAAAAGTATACCCTATCGAGTGTATTGTATAATTGCAACGTTTCGGTTATTTGACACATGTTTTAGGTTTCTTTTGGGATTTTTCCTGA